CTATATTTATGTAACACTTTTTTTCATATACATCATCTTCTTCGAAATTCCATGAGGTTTTATGTAGAAGTTGCAGCCTAATGGGTGGGTTCTTGGAAAAAATGTGTCTACATTAAATCTCTGTAAGTTGAAGTAGACTTTTATCTACCAGGTGTCTAACATTGGTGATGTCGCCTTGACAAGGTGGGGACTTGCTTTGCCAGGGGTAATTGGTAGCCTTCTGATTATACATCGCTGATGGCTGATTGATTGGTGCTTCATTATTAGTTTAAACTTGTGAGTTATAGACCCTTGGGCTCCTTACAGAGAGGTTAGAGAGCTGGGAACAGAGAAACAGAGAGAAGACAGATTGCACACAGAGACAGATTGGGTTCCTTGGAGGGAGGCCTACATATCCACACAGTCCCTCCAGGGAACCATGTGCATCAAGAAACTGGCACCAGATTAAAAGCACCAAGTGGAGAAGTTCCTGGACTATGCAGAGCAGAGGAAGTCCTGGCCTGCTCGGCTGCTATAGCCATGGAGCAGCAAGGAACAATGACATGTTCTGGGGGAGCAAGGCCCAGGCCTTGCCCTCCATCAGTACTGTGAGGGATATGGGTTGTGAAAGCTTTGGAGAGGAATGTTGACTCTCTGTTTACCCCAAGCTGGGACAAAAAATCAAGGTTTCCTTAATCCAAGGCCAGGGTTTTTCTTACTACCCCACATTTATTGGGCAGCAGAGTAGATGGAGTACTCTGGGCCTGGGTTCAAATATAGCCTCAGACACTGAGAAACTGTGTGACCCTGGCCAAGTCACTGAACCTTGTTTGCCTCATTTTCTTCATATGTAAAATGAGCTGGAGAAGAAAATGGAAAACCACTCCAGTATCTGCCAAAAAAAAAATGAAGTCACAAAGAGTCGGACACAACTGAAATGACTGAAAAACAACACATTTATTGCAGTCATCTGTAAAGTTCACTCAGGATGCTGTTCCTTTTGCCAGGAGTCCCCAAGCAGGGTAGTACTATAAGTCTAGAGAACTACAGAGATCTCTAGAAAAGTAGGTCTTGCCACAAGGGAGGGTTGCTTGACTCAGGAAACCCAAGTTCATAGTATTACAGCATGACAGCTATAGAGTTAGAAAGATCCTCCAATGCCTCCTAGTCCCTTTTTACAGACAGGGAAACTGAGGCCCAGAGGTTTTTTAAGTGACTTGCCCAAAGTCACACAGCTAGGCAAGATGTGAACCTAGGTCTTCTGGGCTCCAATTACAGAATTCTATCCACCTAGGTAGAGCTATAAATATGTAGGACTGTATTGTTTAGGTCTCTGGAGCATTCTACCAGAGAGGGAAGGAGAGGTATCTTAACTACTTGGGAGCTTAGGTGTGGGTCCTTTCCATTTTTGTCTTGGGATATTTGCTCAGAGGCAGCTGGGTAGTGTACAGGATAGAGTATTGGACCTCAGGAAGACCTAAGTTCACATCCAGCCTCAGATACTTACTACTGTGTGACCCTGAGCATGTTACTTAATCGCTGTCTTCCATGGTTTTCTCATCTGCAAAATGGGGGTGATAATAATAGCAGGGTTGTTGTGAGAATAAAATGAGTTAATATGTTAAGTGCTTTGCAAACCTAAAAGCATTATAGAAATATTAGTTGTTGGTGTTATTATTATTATTTGATGTTTTTAGTCTGAGTATATACATATATGCGTGTGTGTGTGTGTGTGTGTGTGTGTGTGTGTGTGTGTGTGTGTGTATCAACCGAGATCTTTTTTCTTTCCTGTGGAAATATGGTTTTCAAGGGAAAATCATGGGGAAGAGGGGGCAAAGCCAACAAAATTCTGATATTCTCAGGGGGAAACTTGGGAGGAGGGGAGCAACATGAGCCAGAGAGTATTTATTACTGAGCTGCTCCCAAGATTAAATCTAGTCTGTATAAACTCAGAATTTTGATTCTGAGCCATAGGTTACTTTTAAACGCACTGGGGCTGGGGGGGGAGGGGAAGGAGGGGCTTAAGGGAGTTCCTCTGCTCAGACAACTTGGAGTTGAAGGAGGCCCAAGAGATCATCTAGCCAAAGTCTCTAATTTTATGCCCATCGAGTCAGAGTGCCTCATTCTAGATCACACAGGGTATAAGGAGTAGAGCTAAGGATGGAGTTATCTACCTAATCAATACTATTTCCACTATGCTGTATTCCTTCCTTAGAGTCTCTAAAGAATCTTCTTCCCTACCGATTCCTGACTTCAGAACCAAAGAATGTTATAGCTAGAAGGGACCCTTGAGACCTAATCCAGCCCCTTTATTTATGGATAATAATAATTGTTCATGTAACATGTAATAAGGTTAAGTCAACAAGCATTTATTAAGCACCTACAGTGTGCCAGGCACTGTATGTTGAAGAAAGGAAGAAAGGCAAAAAACAGACCCTACCCTCAAAGAGCTCAGAGTCTAATGGGGAAGACAACATGCAAACAACTATGCAAACAAAACCCCTAGGAGGTAATTAGTGCAAATGTACTCTGCCTCTAGACATTACAACAGCAATAACTGTCTTGTCTAAACTTTGTATTTTCCCCAATGTCTAGGATCAAACCCTGTACTCAGTAGTACTTAATAAAGGCTACCTGCCTAATTTCCTTGACAATCCTCTATGGCTTCTATCTCATGGTGGGGTCAATCATGGGTGGCCATTTTAAGCCTCTTTGATTAACCTTCCTCTCTTCCCCTCACCCCACACAGATCTTTCTTTCATCCTTCTGTCCCCTTAGCCTGTCGGGATTTCATTCAAACTCCATTGCTTGGCCCATCTGGATATGCCACTGCATCCTGCTTCCTGTCGGAGTGTCCTAGAGAGACAATAAATTCCTGGAGGGCTAAGATGCAGAGCTGGTTGTAGAAATGTTATACTCTTAGGGCCTCAAATAGTTTGGGCTACCACCTTCTTTCCAGCAATGACATTGGCTGGCTGAGTTATCCATCAGCATCAGACTAGTCAGTGATGGCTTAAATTGCTTATGTTACTGTTTGTGGCTTAGCTGACATCCCAAACAGTTAATGAGAGGAGATTTAGGCACACTAGAAGATGCTAAATGGGAATTCTTCCCCTCCCCCTTGTAGATTCAAAACAATACTGGTTCTGATCATCAGTCTGAGGATGCCAAGTTCATCGGCTCATGTGATTTAGGGTTGGAAAGAACCTTGGAAATCATCTTGTCCAATCCCCTCATCTTTCAGATGAGGAAATGAAGGTCCAGAGAGTCTGTGGGCAATGACGTGCCCAGAGTTGCATAAGTAGTAAGTATCAGAGTCCACGTCTGTTTTGGCATCACCAGACAACTTCCAGAGCATTCCACAAATAGGAGAATGTCCCAGAATGATAAGGCCATGGCCTTATAAGAACCTTCATCAATCAATTACATGTAAGAAAAGGCACTGGATTTGGAGTTAGAGGAGCTGGAGAGATCCCAGCCCTGCTCCTTACTTGCTGTGTGACCTTAGGCACACCACTTCCTTCCTTTTTCTGGGAGTCACTTTGCCCAGTCTCTGAAATGAGGGGGGCTGTGCTAGATAACCTGAAATCCCTATGGGAGAGGGTGGACTCGGTGGCTTCTGAGGTCTGTTTCAGCCTTAAATCTATGTTCTGTTCTGTCCAGCTCTAAATCCGTCGTCCAGCCAAGCACTAAATGTTATGTATGATTTTCTTTTCTCAGGGCCTAGCATGTGCAAGAGAGGCTGACCCCCACCCTCAAGGAGCTTCTATTCCAACCTCTTCCTCTGAGGTCACCCCCATAGTAGGCTTCCAGGCAGGAGGAGCCTAACTTCCTCAGTCTCATTATATCCATCTGTAAAGCAGGTGTGTCATTGCTCCTTTCCCTCCCAGGGGTGCTCTGCATTTTCATTATTCCACCTCTCTCCTAGCCTTTGAGAGGCTCAAAGAAAAGCTTGTCTAAGTGCCAAATGGGCATCTTTTTGGCCCCTGGGTCTTTTTCCCCTGCGTCACAGTCACCAGTGGAAGGCACTTGGTACCTGAGAGACTCATAGGAAGAGAGACAAAGCAAACAGATAAACAATGAATTGAAAACCACAGAGATGGGATGAAACAGCTACCTTTAGAGTTGTGCTAAATCCAGCGTTTCCATATGCAAAACTGGGGCCCTCTGCCGGAAGTTAATATTTTTGTGGGGGCTAGGGGGGAGGACAGGGAGAGGAGAGAGGTGGCCCTGGGGAAGAGATGGGGTATATACCACTAATGGCATCTGAGGTCAGTAGAATTCCTGCTCTCTGTGGCTTAGGGGGAAGGGGAACCTTTCCAGCAGGAAGACTCTTCCCCACCCCCCCATCTCCACAAATGACTGGGTTGGAGGGATAGGAGAGGAGGGAATCACTTGAAAGAGACACGTTTTTTTTTCATCTATGCAAAAACTAGTTTTGAGGAGAATGGAGGGAGAGGAAATGTCTCATTTTGTAACTTAACCCGGGCAGTGCCCCGTTTTGCTAGAAGGCGTTTGGAAACCCTGGACATCTGATATTTGCCTCCCCAAGGGCAATCAAAGGCTCCCAAAAGCGCTCACTCCATTAGAGGCGATAGTTTGTCGCAGCTTTTCCAATTAGTGCCCTGCCCAAGGTTTCATTAAAGGGGCTGTTTTAGGGAACTTGGCAGAGTCTTCGGTTCACCCGACTCCATCCAGGCCCGGATCCTTTACCACCAGCAACAGCAACCCCCCACTCCCTGGTCCAATCCTAGGCAAGCAGCTCCCCACCCCCACCTCCGCCGCCTGCTCTCCACAGCTCTCCCCCCCCCCGGCCGCCTCCAACTTTCCACCCCCTGTCCCCTTTCTTTCTCCCCCTTGCTCTGAGGGGCAGATAAATCACTATGGGTTCAGCTCGTCTCGTCTCCTTTCCTCCTAACCTCAGTCCTGTGCGCTCTACTGGCTGCTGGGGCGAGGAGGGGGCGTGAGCTCCAGGCTCCGTGACTGTGGTCAGTAATGAAGCCTTCTCTTTTTATCCGCAGATTACTGAGGAGCTGCACGGGGCCCGGCGGCGGCGGCGGCGGCAGCGGCGGCCGCGGCCGCTCCAATTCCGGACTTGTATTTTTAAACGCCTCCGAGGAGACCGAAAGCGCAGCCCTGACCCTCTGCAGCCTTAGAATGAGGTGAGTAAGCGCCGATCCACCTCGTCTGCCCCCCCCACCCACCTCCCCCTGGTTTCTTTATCCGACGTGCCCCGGCTTCCCCTACCAGGGAGCTCACTTGGTTAGTTTGGGCTTTAAAAAGAAAATTGCAGCCGAGCGTCGGCGCACATGCCAGTCAGTGCCCGGGGGTAGCGACTGCTCGCCTACGCTAGGGCTGGGAAGTCGTTTGCAGCAGCAGCCTCAGCTGCCAGTTTGCACAGTCCTCCTTTCCTCACTTGCCCCAGCGGATGCCCGTTTCCCAGAGCTTGCCAGCCTCGGTTTCATTCAGCCCGGCCTGCTGGGCCCGGGAGCTTTGGCAGCTGGGTGGTGAGTGCCACCCTCCCTTGCCAATCCTCCCGGGGGCTCCGCCTTTCTCCCTGCAGCCCGGTAGCCGGTATTAGGAGGTGGAAACCTTCGGGAAGGTCCCAGCCTCGGAGGAGCCTGCCCGACACCAGCGGGCACTGCCTGGCATGGGCTGTGTCAGAGTGTCCAGCGGGAGGCGTCGGGGACTTTTGCTGCTGCCCAGGGTAGGATCGTCTCGGTTGGTCCCAAAGCCAAGAAGTGGATGCCACGGGATGGCTGTAAAAAAATGGGAACGATTCTGTGCCCCGGAGAGCACTTGCCTTATGCGAGGAACTGGAGGGAACTTCCTCAATCAGCTCCTGCTTCCCATCCTGCTGCCCTGGTAAAGCTGCCTTCCCCTTCCCCGGTGCCAGTGCCATTGGATGCTTTCCCTGGGTTAGTTTTTAAAGAGCAATCTTAAAGACACAGGACGGGCGTTCCCGTGCCCATGCATTGTGGCAGACCTGCTGTTTGAACAGGACCAATCCAAGCCTCCGTCTCTCGAGGGGACTGGTCCCCACGGGGAGTCCAGCTCTGTAGAGAACCCTGTCCTGACTGTCCTCTTTGACTGGAGCCAAGTCCCCCCTGGAAGTTTCGCGGGACAGACAGAATGCCTCGCTCCCCTTTTCATTAGCGGCCAATACAATCAGTCAGCAGTCCAAATGATCCCGTTGGATTCCGGGTCTCCAACCTCCATTCCAACCCCCTCACTGGAAAGGAGAAAATGATCCTGCTGCTCGGAAGGCCAGGATAATTTAAGTGACTTTCCATTTGCCTGCTAAGGAGAACCAAGAATCACGGTTTTCCATCTTTCCCTTGAATCTGGCGAATCTTAAAAACCCCCAGCCACTGTGGAGAAGCTTTCTGTTCCTGAAAAGGTGCGGGTTTCAGGGTGGGGAGGAGAAAGGGGGTTGCAGAAATGTAGAGGTTGCCAGGGAAGTGGGTTGGGTTTTTTTTTTCTTTTTAACACGTTTTCTTGGCCGCGTGCGGGTCTGGTCTCTGGGTGGAGTGCGTCTTACTATGAGTCGTCTGACACCGAGGGTGTGGGGAAAATGCACTTCAGGGTGGGTGCATACAGGGGTTCCCCAGCCCAGCCGACCGATCTGGGCAGCTTTTGAGCCGAAGCCCGAGCTGGAGCTAGAGCTAGCCGCGGGAAGACGCTGGGGGGTTAGCCGCGTCCAGCCTGCCCTCCTCTCTGCGCTCCTCAGCCGGCTTCGGGATGCTGGAGACTGGTCGGTCAGGCGGGGGTGGTAAAGGTTGGAATTTGTGGGACTGAAGGAACATACGGAAGAGGGACTCTCTCTCTCTCTCTCTCTCTCTCTCTCTCTCTCTCTCTCTCTCTCTCTCTCTCTCTCTCTCTCTCTCTCTCTCTCTGGAGGGGGAAGGGCTGGGGTTCATAGAAACGTACATCTCCTAGCCTTACGTAAGACAGCTGTGCCCCGGTCCTCCCAGCGCTTACCTACCCAGCTGCTGGGAACCTCTTACTATCAGAGGGGCTGTCACAAGTCAGGCCGATTCCCACCACATTCGTTTTCACTTTCTTTCCTCGGCTTTTCTGCCCAGGGAAGGGAGCAAACTGGAGCAGGAGACCTCGTGGGCCAGGGAGAGGGCTACAAGGAGTGGGAGGGTGTCTGTTTCCGTAATTAGCTGTGACTTGCCCCCTGACAAACGGAAGGCTGTGCATTTGAGGGCGTCTGAATTTGTGGAACTGCCCCGAGTGCCAAGTTTGCTTATAGGAGAGCTTTCAGAGCCGGCTTGGGCTCTTAACTCTTTCCGCTCAGAACTTTAGGCAGCTTTAGGCAGCAGCCGCAGAACTGGCCTAAGACAAGAGGAGATCACTTCCAGTTTTGCTTGAAATGCTTTGAATGTGACTCACACTTTACTTTAACTCCTACTGCCCAGAGCTTCTTGTCTGGTGGTCTGGAAACAGCTACAGGTGTTTCATTCTGGACATAAGACTGGCTGTAGGCCTGTGCAATGATGATTATGGGGGTCTTTGGTCTAAATCCGGGGTTCCTAACTTGCAGGTCCATGAACTTGGGGAAAATCTACATTTTTAGCATTTACTTCAATTATTTTAAAACATTTTAAGAGGGCCCCATAAGCTTCACCAGTCTGCCAAAGGGCACCAAGATACAAACAAAACCAAGAACCCTGGTGTGAATGGAATTTGCAAAGTAGAGATGCCTTCTTGATCTCATCTCCCCCTCCTTTTCTAATGCTCTTTTCTTCTGGATATTAATTTGTATTATTTTATGGACAGGACGTTCCAAAAGTCTTAAGCTGTTAAAGCTTAAAACTACACTAAAAATTTGGGGACACTCTGCATTTCCTCTTGGTCCCACCTGCTTCCCCCCACCCCAGTAGAATGTAAACTTCTTGAGGTCAGAGGCTTTCATTTCTGTCTGTGTATCCTCAATGCCTGGCATATTGTTATTCAAGCATGTCTGCCTCTTCCTGATGCCATTTGGGGTTTTCTTGGCAGAGATACTGGTGTAGTTTGTCATTTTCTTCTCCAGCTCATTTTACAGGTGAGGAAACTGAGGCAAACAGGGTTAAGTGACTTCTCCAGGGTCACACAAGTAGTGTCTGAGGCTGGATTTGAATTCAGGAAGATGAGTTTTCCTGATTCCAGGCCTTGTACTTTAATAAATTCTTATTACATTGAATCTGAAGGAGGTTCTGGCTATTGATTTTTATTTTAAATAATTATCCTAGCTAACTAGATGCTAAATTTTGAAGCTTCTATACTGCTAAGTCCAGTGCCTTCATTTTATAGATGAGGAAAGCAAGGTTTTGCCGAAGTCTTATGCCTTACCCACTATGCCATGCAGCCTTTCTTTGGTGCAAATGATAATGGTCTCCAGGTTTCCCCAATTAAAACACCTGCCTCAACCCCCACCCTTCAGGTAGCCTCAAGCCCCCTGAACATATTCACTGAGACTTGGCCTTGTAAGTTTGACCAGCCAGACCAAGCACTGATATGGTTAATTTCCTTCCCAAATAGGTCTGTTCTCCCCAAGCCACCCCCCCCCAAAAGAGCAAGTGAGTTGTGTGCCTGAATTATCTGATGGGGAGGGGGGTGGGCACAAGCTGACCATCTTGCTGATTGTTATGGCTGTAAGTGAAGACACACATGGCTACAGACTGGGCAGACAGACTCCTGGGGTACAGCCCAGACTGCATCCTCTGTAGCTAAAAGGGGCTGGTTGGGTTTCTTTGCTGAGTCCCTTCCTGTTCCCTCTAGTTATTCCCTGGAATCACTGTGGTTAGAAGGAAGCTGCTTTTGTTTTTTAGACCATGGTCTAATCCTACAATCAACTTGTCTTAGAATCCAGCCTTCCTTTACATATTGTCTGTGCCAGTGAATAAAAGACGATAGAACAGACTAGCAAACACTTACAGAGCCATGAATGAAGAGTCCATGGTTTGTTTAGCCATTGTTCGTGTTCCAAGTTGGGTTTCCGTTCCCCTGAACTTCCTACATCTGTAATTGGCATTAGTCGTGGGCACAAAAATAGGAGTGTGGGAGGTCTGCTCCCTCCCTCCCCCAAGGTATCTGAAATTTCTAGCTTTGTATTTCATTCCTTCTCCACTATGTCATAAGTAAACCCTAAGATCTTAGATGTAGAGCTGGTGGGAACCTTGAAGATCATTTAGCCCAACCCCCTCATATTTTATAGGGGAGGAAACTGCAGTCTGAAGAGGCTAGTTGATGTATCCAAAGTCACACAAGTAATAATAACAATATCAGTGATAGCATTGATATAGCACTTGCCTTTTACCAGGCATTGTGCTAAGATTTTACATATTCACATATATTTACATATTATATATTTACAAATACATATTACTATATGTATATTTACAAATACAATCTCATTTGACATTCACAATAACCCTAAGTGGTAGATGCTATTATTATCCCCATTTTACAGTTGAGGAACTTGAGGCAAACAGAAGTTAAATGGCTTGCCCAAGAGGGCAGATTTGAACAGCTAGTGGGTGGTTGAGGTCAGATTTGAACTTAGGTCTTCCTGACTTCAGTAGGAAGTAATAAAGAACGGTAAGTTGTTTATCAGTTATGTTTTCAGTCGTGACCCCATTTGGAGTTTTCTTAGCAAGTATCTTGCCATTTCCTTCTCCAGTTCATTTTACAAATAAGGAAACTGAGGCAAATAGGGTTGAGTGACTTGCCCAGAGTCACACAGCTAATAAGCGTCTGAGGCCAGATTTGAACTCTGGAAGTTGGACCTTCCTGACTTCAGGCCCAGTGCTTTATCTACTGCAGTGCCACCTAGCTGCTCCAACTAAGAAAGTAGTAAGGAGCAAAGTCAGGATTGGAACCCAGGTCCTCTAGCTCCAAAAGCAATGGCAATCTTTGCACTATGCTGCTGTGCAATGCATTTTACATGCTGTAGATCATGTTCCATTGTCCTAATTAGCTGGAAGGGAGCAGGGTTATAGAGAGAGGACTGGGGGACTGAGAAGCAGTTTGCAGATAAAGCATGCCCTGAGATCACTGAAACTCTGAGGCAGAGTTGAGGTCAGCAACATATTCCACCCTCTCAAAATTGTTCTTGGCCACCAGGCTCCACCTCCCCAAGCGTGGCCCCCCATGGGTTTTTTCACTTGTGGTTATCTCCAACCACTCTTCCATATGTAGAATCTGAGATCATTGAATAAGCTAGCGGCCATGGAAGGGCTGGGATACCAGCACTGAATTCTCCCTAGAGGCTTGTCATAGGCTTATTTATCAAAATCCTCTTCTTCAAGACTGAAGAACACCATTCTATTGTCTTTATTATTTATATATTGTGCTAAACATAAATATTACCACGTGTCATTACTTTATTGTCATTAAGTTTCTTGATATTATTCAGAGATTTTTGAGAAGCAGTGTGGTATAGCGGCTAGAGAACCAACTTTGGAGCCAGGAAGGCCTGGGTTCAAATCCCAGGGCAACCCTGGGCAAGTCACTAGTGCTCTAGGCAACTCCCTAAGACTAACTTGCCTAAGAAAGTTGCTGACCTGCATTGGTAGAGGGAGTTTGCTCAACTAGGAAGTCCCCATACCAATGAAATCACACAGATCCAGTCCCTATTTCTTAGCTATTTGCACATAGTAAGCACTCAATAAATTCTTTTTTGTGCATTGTCAATGCTTCTATTTTGTTGGGTCATTTCAGTAGTGTCCAACTCTTCCTGACCCCATAGGGGTTTTCTTGTTTTGACACAACCTGTGCATCTCGAATCTTTCTCAGGACTCTCTCTCTCTCTCTCTCTCTCTCTCTCTCTCTCTCTCTCTCTCTCTCTCTCTCTCTCTCTCTGTCTCTGCCTCTGTCTCTCTCTCTGTCTCTCTCTCTCTCTCTCTCTCTCTCTCTCTCTCTCTCTCTCTCTTCTCTCTCTCTCTCTCTCTGCCTCTTTCTGTCTCTCCCCTATAGCTTACCAAATAAACTCAATTCAATAAACATTTATTAAGCACCTACTATGTGCCAGTCCCATATTTAGAGGAGAATGAGGTTGTATGATTTTATTCTGTGGAGAAAAGGTGAGCAAACGTCAAGAATTTCTCCTTTGCACAGGCCAAGAATGGTGATGGTGCTCACCACAGACATGGAAAATATGTTGACAAATCCACAGTACTGCCACATGGTCATTCCTTTCTTTGGTGTCAGTGGCATCCCTTCCATACCTTACCATAGGATCACAGATCTGGAGCTAAAAAGGACCTCTGGCTCCATCATTTCATAGATGTGGAAACTGACACACAAAGAGGTTTAGTGACTTGGGCACGGTCAAATAGGGAGTAAGCGTCAGAGGTGAGATTTGAACCTAGGTCTCCTAACTGTTCAGAGCCATAGTTCTTTCTGCTTCACTGCACTGTGTCCCCTTATCTTCCTGTGTGCTTCATATCCAGGTCTTTCTGTGACTCCTTTGTTGAGGATTTGCCCAGTGCGCTGAAAGACCATTCTCTACATCTTTTAACGTTTCAGGCAGCTAGGAGGTGCTGTGCATAGGGTGCTGGATTTGGGAGTCAGAGAACTATGAGATCAAGTCCTCCTCCCTCAGATGATGATGGGCTGTTTGAGCCTGGACTCTCATGGTCTCAATTTCCTCCTCTCCAAGATGTAGATAATAATAATAGCACTATAGTGAGGATAAGGTGCTCCATAAACCTTAAAGAATTTTTTTTGGTGGGGCAGGCTGGGCAATGGGGTTAAGTGGCTTACCCAGGGTCATACAGCTAGTAAGTGTTTTGTGTCTGAGGCCGGATTTGAACT